GAAAATATGTCWAAAGTGTTATTCTGATTAGGTACAATTCTCAGAAGTGTAGCGTTAACCATACATCATCACGTGAGTTTGATTGACACATTTCGATTCGGGGTTAAATTTCTTTGAATTCTTGAAATAATTAATATATTGATTTCACTAAAAGGTCGCGTCTTTCTTGGAAAAATCTAACCTGGAAACAACAACACGTTTTGATTCAAGTTTGTTTACGAATTATCCTCGTTCAGGACTAAACCAAGATGAAGCTGTAGTCGAACATTTTTGCCGAATGTGCAATTTTGTGTTTTTTTTTTTATCGATGGATGGATGGATGGATGGATGGATGATTAGTTTATCGTTTAGGAACCCAGGTAAAAATTGTGCAACGAATCAGAAAATGCGGGGAAAAATACCGTTGATCGTGTAACTCGAACTCAAGCACTGAAAAGAGGTCAAAAGTGGTATTGTTAGGTATCATTCTCAGAAGTGTAGCAAAAACCATCATCATACCACGTGCGTTTGATTGACACATTGATCAATGAATTGCTTGAAATACTGCTTCCACTAACAGATCGCGTCTTTCTTGGAAAGCATCTAACCTGAGAACAACTCCTTTTGATTCAAGTTTGTCTTCGCATTATCCTCGTTCAGGACTAACCAAGATGAAGCTCCTCATTGTAACACTTTGCGTTCTTGCTGCACTTATCCCTGCTGGTAAGTACCTTATTATTAACAATAATAAAATAATAACGGAAAAATAACCGAGCTAAGGGTTTTTTTTTCGCTTGTTGTTCGCTTCTATGCCCCATTGGGGGCGTGTACATTGCAAAAAGACTGATCCGAAATTAATTTTGTTCAAAGAATTCTTTCTTGGGATAAGCTAGTACTTAGACTTCCCTGAAAAATATTCGGAGTATGTACAAAATATATTATTTAATGAATTAAACTAGGGACGTATATCCATATGTTAACGATAGATTTAGTTTTTCGCAGTAGTGTATTGGCATGTTGTTCGTCGACTACGTTGCACTAACCAGGAATCAAAAAACAACTTATCGAACTAACCTTTTTTGTATAAAAAATCGCAGAAATCGCTTACAGGTCTTAGAAACATGCAAAACTGACAAACTTTTTTTAAAGGAATTAAGCAGTAGCAACGAATAACTACTTATCAACAATATAATTGAGCGGTTTTTCGCTTAGTGTTTGTTCGTCTACGTAGCAGCAAGCACTGAACAAGAATCCCAAAACTGAACCTTGAAGTGTTCTTTTTTTGGATAGGAACGTATTCATCTCTTAGATATCTTAGAAACAACATAAAGTTATCTTATTTAAGGAATTAAACTAAGAACAGATAACTAGATATCAACGCGATAGATTTTACTTGCTTGGTGTTTACTCACTGCATGTCTACGTAGCAACAAAAATTCTCGGAATCAACAAGGAAGTGTTCTTGGAATAACGACTTAGACTTCTTAAAACTCTTAAGAATTCGAAGATACCGAATCTCGAAGGAATTGCAGAAAGAAACTGTTTTCAAATGTTTTCAGTCGACTCTTACAGGAATTATTTTATYCTCCACATAATTTTAACGAAATTGTTTTGACAATAGACTCATCTTGGGTAAGATACGTTTTTGTTATTTGGGGGGAGGACTGGGGCTTCACGGTAGGGTCATCAGTAAAAAATGTAACGTTTTTTGAGGGCCAAAGCTTTTAAGGTACTAGGATACGTTTACGACCACTATGCGCGCAAACTTAAATAACGCGCTGGCTTTATAGTATAACACAAACAAAGTATACATTTTCTGAAAGCTGAGTAAACATAGTTTGATTACCGACAAGATGAAACTGAATGATAGCAAAACAGAGTTCCTGATTTTCGGAACCAGGCAACAGCTGAAAAAGGTTTGTATCGACAAGTTAACAGTTGGAGACGTTAGAGTAACGCCAGTTTCAGCAGCCAGGAATCTAGGAACTTTGTTTGACTGTAATATGAGTCTTGTCCCTCACATCAATAATATATGTAAAGCTGCATTTTTCCATCTCTATAATATTAGGAGGATAAGAAAATATCTTTCTTATGATACAACAAGAATGTTAATTCATGCTTTAATTATGGGCAGAATAGACTATTGTAACAGCCTGCTTTACGGTCTCCGTGCAAAGTCTATTAGTAAATTACAACGTGTTCAAAATGCATCGGCTAGGCTCATAACAGGAACGCCTAGGTACAATCATATCACTCCAGTACTATATTTACTCCATTGGCTACCAGTTAAGGAAAGAATACATTATATGATATTAATACTTACTTTTAAGGCTATATATGGTCTTGCACCAAGTTACATCAGCAGCCTAGTTGAAGTTAAGCGTTCTAGTGCATGCTCTCTTCGGAGGAACAATGTTTTAAATGTTAGAAGCAAGAAAATTCTTGGTGAGAGGGCTTTTGCTGTGGCTGCCCCGTCTTTGTTTAATGCCCTCCCTCGTCATATCAAGAATGAGAGTAATTTTAACAGTTTAAGTCATTACTTAAGACATTCCTGTTTCAGACTGCATATGGATCTTAAATTATATTATTTAGATTAGAGTAGATTGTTTTTATACAATAATTACACCACCTAAAAATATATTAGGGAAAAGCCATTAGTTATTATCGATAGAGTTTTAACCACTGCATAACAGTTTGTTACTTCACCTTAGGAAATTATATTTATTTACATATATTCTTCTTTCATAATTCATACGTTATAGCTAGTTGTTTTCAGTAGTGCTTTATATTTAATCTTTTATATTTGG